CTCACATATATCTTCAGATTGAGCCACACATATTGCTTCAATTATTTTATAAATAAAATATCTTATATATAAATTAATTTACGCATTTTCTTTCCTTCTGTACCTACATTATTTACAATCATGTCATTCACAAATCACAATACTTTCTTCATTATTTAATAAATCTAAATAAGATTAATTTTAAAATGTATTTCATCATATGTAATTTGTTGCAATAAAACTTCTTTATCCAATATACCTTTATATTTACTGCTACCAAGAATCTGGCTTGTTGTAGTATCCTCTTCAGATTCTATGTCTATATAAAATTTTATATTTAATTTAATTATATTTAAAAAATTAATACATTCAGAGATATCTGTACATTGGATCTCACATATATCTTCAGATTGAGCCACACATAGTGCTTCTATTATTTTATAAATAAAATATCTTATATATAAATTAATTTTTTACCTATTTTCTTTCCTTCTGTACTTACATTATTTACAATCATGTCATTTACAATACTTTCTTCATTATTCAATGAATCTAAATAAGATTAATTTTAAAATGTATTTCTTTTCAGTGTATTTATTTTTGTAAATATAATATATAAAAAGTAATATTCCATATTATAGTGTCCATTTTTCAAAAATATATATAAATAATCAAACTATTCTAAATTTATTTAGCATTTTTATTAAAATATAGTTTATTATTAAGTTAGGATAAACAAATAAATATATAATTATCCAATTATGAAAGAATGATTGAATAAACAATTTAGCCAATATTATCTTTATTAATGTAAAAAGAATAATAGTGTATGATTTTTTAAGATATTAACTATTTATATAGAAAATATTTACTATGTTTTATTTAGCTAATATTTTGACATCACCTTATGTGATTATAATAGAAAAATTAAAAAAAAAATTTCCATTTCTAGTGTCCTGCTCCTGAAAGGTGAAAATATATTGTAAAGCAATTTTTGCTTGCCTTGAAAACTAAAGAAATCAATATTGTTTAATACTCTGGTGAAAAATGACTTAAATAGAAATTCTATAGAAATTAGGCAAATTTGGGAGAAAATAGGAAAAACATATAACTTCAATTATGATCAAGTGAAAAAGAAACCTTCCATTAAAATAGATAATTAACTAATAAATTTATTTTTTCTTAAACTTAAATGTCCAAAGTGTTTTGTTATTAATTTGTGAAAATTTTAAGGATTTTTTCAAAACATTTTGGACACAGACTTATTTATAAATTTATTTACCTATTTTCTTTCTTTTAACATTTTTGTTTTCAATATTTATATCTTTTAAAACTACAATTAATCGTCTTTCAACTAAATCAAAGTTTGAATTTTAAAAACTGTATAAAATATACTTTGTTCATCACCAGCTTTATTATTGAATCCTCTTCTTTGGTCCTCAAGATTATTGCTACTTTTATCTTTAGTTTTTTTCATAAAGTCTTTAATGCTTAAATTTTTAAATCGCAAAGTCATTTTATTTAAATAGTGATTTTAAACTCGGTTTAAAATATTAAATTTGTTAATTTTCAATTAATAAATCTTTATATTTATTTAATTAGGGTTATATAATAATTTAATTAATAAAAATCAATTAAACTTCAACTGTTAATGCTAAATTGATATTTAAACATTATGCATGGTATTGATATTTTATTTTTAACAAAGAATTTGATTGCAAGCTGACATAGTGAAACTATAATTTATATGTATTAATCTAATCTAATAAAATTTAGATAGTCTTATTAATTTTTAAATAATAAAATTAAATCTATATATTACTTAATAGAATTATAATAAACAGGGGACAATCAAAAAAGGTTCTTTTTAGTTTAAGGGGATATTAAGAAACCATTAAAAAAAAATTTTTTTTGCTTCAGGGGGCTATTCAAATTTTTCAGGGGGCTTGAGCCCCTGAGCCCCCCCCTCCTAGTGACGGCCATACAACAATGGTCCGTAGCACACAATAGCCGAGGGAGTTCATCAAGGGTCGGCTCTCAGCCCCCCTTCTCTTCATAACAGTAATAGATATATTACCAGAGTCTATACCACAAACAGTCCCGTGTAATATGATAATTGCAGATGATATTGTGATATTTGCCGAATCTAAAGATGAAATGAAAGAAAAATTAATGATCTGGATAAATAACCTAGAAAAGCACGGATTAAAAGTAAATAGAGAAAAGACGGAGTATATGGTGATAAGAGGAGATGAAACAGAGAACATTGATATAAATGAATGGCAGATTTCTGTAATTGAAAGCTGCAAATATTTGGGCTCCACTCTACAAACAAACGGCACAATAGAGAAAGAGATAAAGAGTAAAATTAATCAAGGGTGGTTAAAGTGGAGATCTTTATCTAGAGTGCTCTTTGACAAAAGAATCCCACACAAATTGAAGGGAAAAATTTATAGTTCCATAGTACAACATATTCTATACATTTCGGAAACTGGCCAACCAAAGAATCAGACGAGAGAAGTCTACAAACTATGGAGATAAAGCTGAGGATGATTGCTGGGGTAACAAGAAAGGATAAGGTGAGAAGTACAAGAATACTAGGAAGTTTAAAGGTAGTGCCCATTAAGACTAAGATAATGGTAAACAGACTTAGGTGGTATGGGCATACAATGAGAAGGCCTATGAACTACATAAGGTTGAGAGTTTGGAAGTGATGGGTAAACGTAAAAGAGGAAGGCCAAAACTTTAATGGGGCCATAAAGTTAGAGCTAATATGAAAGTATACTTTAGATAAAAGAGATATAACATAAAGTGGAGAGAGATATTGAAGGAGTTTACCACCAGAAAAAATGAAAGCTAAAGAGAAAAAAATGTACTAATAAATCTAGTCATTATCACCTTTGGGTTACGCGCGCAGAATAAAAGCAAATATGTATATTAATATAAAAAAATTAAAATACTCATATGTCTAGGCATCAAAGTTATTTTCTTTCAATAATATTGTGTAGAAATTAGGCAATTATATTTTTTGTTGCATAAGAATATCTTAAGTTAATTTAGCAGTTTATCAAACAGCTGATAAATAATTTTATAAAACTCCAGCTATGGGAACGAAAGAGCGAAAAACAAAAGAGCGAAAAGTTGGGAATATTCCCTCTAAATGTTCCCAAGATGGAGAAAATTTTTGATATGGAGAAAATGGAGAAAATAAATACCATGAAAATCCCAACTGTCGCTGATAATTTGAAAACCAGTTTTAGGCGGAGGCAATTAGATATTCAAGTATATAAACTTTTTATAAACTTTTTAATTTTTTTTTTATAATTTTAGAAAACTCAAAAAAGACACAATTTCATAATCTATAAAGGTTATGAATATATACTTCATAAGAAAGGTAAAAATGCTACTTATTTTACGTGTAGAAAAAGGTGTGGTGGCCGAGGAAAATTGTTGGCAGGTTACAATTTTATCATAAGTGTGAAACATGATATAAATTGTAAGTCAAATCAAGGTACATAAATTAAATCTGATATAATAAATAATTTCTCTTCTAGAAGCCCAACCTTTACCAAGTATAATATTTCATAACATACAATTCCAAATAGGTATCTCTCAAATTATTGAATTAAAAGTTTCTTTTACTACATTTGTTTTATTTATTAATTTAAGGCTCAAATTTTCAGCTTAATGGCAATAATGATGCACAGGCTTTGCTCACTGCCATTGAAAGTAGAAATTTTTTTACCAATTAGTTTTTAATAAATTTAATGATTTTAGATGCAAATTCAATACAATCTCCAAGCAACTCTCTATTAAGACAAAGCCATGCCTTTGCTGCTGAAAGTATAAATTTTTTTACGAATTAGTTTTTATAAATTTAATGATTTTAGATGCAAATTCAATACAATCTCCAAGCAACTCTCTATTAAGACAAAGCCATGCCTTTGCTGCTGAAAGTATAAATTTTTTTACCAATTACTTTTTATAAATTTAATGATTTTAGATGCAAATTCAATACAATCTACAAGCACCTCTCTATTAAGACAAAGCCATGCCTTTGCTGCTGAAAGTATAAATTTTTTTACCAATTACTTTTTATAAATTTAATGATTTTAGATGCAAATTCAATACAATCTCCAAGCAACTCTCTATTAAGACAAAGCCATGCCTTTGCTGCTGAAAGTATAAATTTTTTTACCAATTAGTTTTTAATAAATTTAATGATTTTAGATGCAAATTCAATACAATCTCCAAGCAACTCTCTATTAAGACAAAGCCATGCCTTTGCTGCTGAAAGTATAAATTTTTTTACGAATTAGTTTTTATAAATTTAATGATTTTAGATGCAATTTCAATACAATCTCCAAGCAACTCTCTATTAAGACAAAGCCATGCCTTTGCTGCTGAAAGTATAAATTTTTTTACCAATTACTTTTTATAAATTTAATGATTTTAGATGCAAATTCAATACAATTTCCAAGCAACTCTCTATTAAGACAAAGCCATGCCTTTGCTGCTGAAAGTATAAATTTTTTTACCAATTACTTTTTATAAATTTAATGATTTTAGATGCAAATTCAATACAATCTACAAGCACCTCTCTATTAAGACAAAGCCATGCCTTTGCTGCTGAAAGTATAAATTTTTTTACCAATTAGTTTTTATAAATTTAATGATTTTAGATGCAAATTCAATACAATCTCCAAGCAACTCTCTATTAAGACAAAGCCATGCCTTTGCTGCTGAAAGTATAAATTTTTTTACCAATTACTTTTTATAAATTTAATGATTTTAGATGCAAATTCAATACAATCTCCAAGCAACTCTCTATTAAGACAAAGCCATGCCTTTGCTGCTGAAAGTATAAATTTTTTTACCAATTACTTTTTATAAATTTAATGATTTTAGATGCAAATTCAATACAATCTACAAGCACCTCTCTATTAAGACAAAGCCATGCCTTTGCTGCTGAAAGTATAAATTTTTTTACCAATTAGTTTTTATAAATTTAATGATTTTAGATGCAAATTCAATACAATCTCCAAGCAACTCTCTATTAAGACAAAGCCATGCCTTTGCTGCTGAAAGTATAAATTTTTTTACCAATTACTTTTTATAAATTTAATGATTTTAGATGCAAAAAAGGTTAGTATATAATATTATATAAATATAATCTTCCTTTTTTTTCAACCCTTTAAATAAACATATTTATTAAATCTATTTTAGATGATGATGATTATCAAATTGATGTTGCTAATACGTTAATTGATTTACATCAATACAGTCATAGTAAAATAAAATATATAATGACTAATTATTTTTTTATTTATTAAGGCCCTCGTTTTATAAAAAGCCAACAAGGAAAAACATTGTTATTTTATAACAAGTTTTTGTACAGAATTGATCATAAAAAGGATCTAATTATTTATTATCGGTGTCGAAATAAAAGCTGCAAAGGTAGATGCAAGTTTGATGGAACATATTCTATCACGTTTATGGCGAAAATGCCAAACATTGGGATTATCATCATCGTACATGGGGCATTCGGATGTACATAAAGTAGTCCGAAGAATGAGCACACTTCCATTCTGTAGGGAAGAACATGTGGCAATAGTACGTGATACTTGCTATCAAATGGCTGCTAACAATAGTTTGTTACTAAGTTTTATGCAATATATGGATACAACTTGGCTCGGAGTTAGACCACTATTTCCTTATAAAATATGGTCAAGGTATAAAAGATATTAAATTATATAATATCTAATTTATATATTGTTAATTTAGGTATAGAGTACTGGGTCCCCGCACAAATAATCATTTAGAGGGATTTCATCATGCCCTGAACCGAAAAATATCCTATGCTCATCCGAATATTTATACATTAATAAAAATTTTAATAAACTATCAAAACAGTAATGATCTAAAACTTATTCAAATAAATAATGGATCAACGGTTAATCGCATTAATTACTCTTACGAGATAAAAGATCGTATGATCTCAAATTTAACAGATATTTATGAAGAAAGCGAAGATGTTATTACATTTTTGGACGAGGTTTCCAAAATCATTAAATTAAAATCTTAATTTTTTATTTTATTTATAAACATTTTCACAGTTATTATCGCTCCTTTACAAATATGTATTTCCCAATTTATCCAATTAAATATTTTTTATTACAATTACATGAAATTTAAATAATTAATCAAAATCTATGCATATAATTTTAATGTAAATATTCCGTTCGCTTTTATTTTACAGGTATATTTTTTATATGATTTTTTTAATAAATTATTTATTTTGTTATATTACATTATATATAAACGCTATATTACTATTGGCATAATTTTATATATATTTAATTTAATATGAATTATGTCTATTCAATTTTTATATTTTATGATCGCATATTATATCATGATTGGGTTTATTAATATTATATATTATTCAGTGCAAATATAAATGATAAATCCTTCTTTGCAATGTATAAATACTTAAGATAAATAATTTATTAATATATATATAGAAGGCTTTAACACTAAAAATCAAAAAGTGAATGTAGAGATATATTTAATACTGCCTTTTTAATTCTAGATTTTTCTTAACATAATAGAATGAAATATTTGAAAAACTAAAACAACACTTGCTTTATTGAATGTTTAGGCTAGTGATAAAAGATATAGATTAGATTAAAAATATATAGAACAAAATGATATTAAGAATAATTTTAATAAATTATTTTTATTATATATTTAAAAAATTAATATTAAACATTAAAAAATACTTAATATTTACCATATATAACTATCAAAATAATAATATTTATTAATAGAATTCATGACTTTTTTAGTGGAGTTATAAATTATGGGAACATTTTTATCAAATTTTTTTTCGCTCTTTTGCTTTTCGTACCGAATTCAAAACTCCAGTACAGACACACAGCTATTATTTCAGTTAGGCCAAGCTTATAATTTTTTTTAAAATATTTTAGTCTAAAAAAATTAATTATGGATATTCAAGATTTGCAACAAGTAAAATTATCAAAGAAATATTTGGAAAATTTTAGAAGTATACAATTACTAATTAATGAAAATTTGATAAAACAGTTTTCTCATGAATCTTTTGAATATCTAACATTAAAACATATAAATTATAAGATTGATAACTCACTTGATCCATTTGTCAGCTTTTTCTGGGATGTTGATATGGCTGATAATTCACAATCTCTATTTGTTGATCAAAATATGTTGATAGCAATCCCTAAAATTATATATTATTCCTTTTCATTTGCAACAACTGATAAAATTGATGAATTCTATAATAAATGTTTTAAAAAATTTCCAAATGATAAATTAATATTTTATTATTTAGAAGATGAGAATGAAAATATGGAATCTAAAAGAATAAGTGATGAATTGAATTTATATAACATTATGCAATATGATACACAATTTATTTTTATCAGTTCTTTTAATCCTGATTTACTTAATCTGTTATATCAAATTACAAAATCTTATGCAGAAGCTGAAAAAAAATTAAAATTATATGATTCAAAGTTTGCCTTTCATCCTGCTGGTGAACATACACAGTCAATCAAATTTCCTCGTGTCTTTGATGACAAAATAATTGTTAAATGGAAAGTAGATATTTGGAAGGCTCAATTATCATCTTTTAATAATGTTGGTAAAGATGTAGCAGAGGCTATAGCATCATTTATACCATCACCATCTAGTTTATTAAATGCATATCAACAAATAGAATTGAAAAGCAATGGTAACAATTTGAATACAATAAAAGAATGTGAAAACTACTTGAAAGATGTTAATGTTCGAAGAGGGGCAGGTATATTGCAAACTACTAGAAGAGTTGGACCAGAATTATCCAAAAATATTTATAAATTTTTTACAAGTCATGAACCTTTAAACCAAATATAATAAATTTATTTGTACATTATTTACAATATTTTACAAAATTATATCAAATTATTGTGATTATAAAACCAATTCCAATTTATATTTTACATAATAAAAATGTCATTATTTTTTACTTAGTCTGAATGAATTCCTAGGCATATCCTGGGTTTTTGTAAGAGGGCAGGGTACTTTTGGGTACCTTTTTTCATAAATTGCTTTGAAATATTTAGACCCCTTCAAAGGTTTTTGGCCAGATTACTATTATAAAGTGTTTTCCATTGCACTGGGGGAGGGGGGGGGTGGAAACAGGGCTCTCAATCATGGGGGTAGGTGATCAATTACATCATTAAAATCCAAGGAAATTATCCTCTTAACCCAAACCAGAGTTGTTAAAGTAGTTTGTGTAGCACGCTATCTTTTTTGATAGCAATAGCTAATAGCATTCTACTTTTTTCCAATTATTAATTTTTTTTAGCACGCTCCTTTTTTTGAAAGTAGTAAAAATATAATGAATGTAACTATAAACATGAATATTTAAATATCATAATTAATTATAATTTTTATGATTTATTATTTATTTTTGAAATTTATACTATAAATCTAAATCATCTTGTGTAAAATATTTAAAATGTCATCGCAAATGGATATCCAAATCGATATAAGTGAGCAGGGGCGGACTGGCGACGCTACAGCCTCATGGGCATTTTTTCATAGCGACCTCATTTCTGGGGGCTTTGCCCCCATAATGCGGGCCTTCGGCCTGCTTTTGCCCGGTCTTCAACCGGGTTCCCTTATATGGCTTCTTCGATTTACATGATTTTTATTATTTCTTGTAACATTAGTAACGATTTTATTTTAATATATTGTAAATAATGAAGGTTTAAGCTATCAATTTAAACTTTTACTTTATATTAATTTTTATAAGAAACGTTATATTATATTTTATATATTTAATATTAAAATGATTTATTTTTGTATATATAAAGAGATCATTATTATATAAAATTTTACTAGTTAACTTTTGAAAATAAAGAACTTAATTTAATATTTTAAATCGATTCTTATTTATTCATACGTTCAAATCAAGCCATCACCCCCGCGCAGTGTCATGAGCGGGGGGGGGGTAGGAACAGTTTGCATCCTAATATCTATAAAGGGGTAGGAATGTTGGGGGGTAGGCTATAATAATCTAGAAAATTTTCCATTACATTTTTAAATTATCTATGGATAACATTTTAGTATTTTTAGGGGGGTAGATATATATTTTTGAGGGAGGTTTGCATCCAGTGAATATACTGTCATGTAGACGCTGCCCCCGCGTATCGAATACTTCTTATTTTTGAAAATAAGTTCAAAAGATTTACATTTTTAGTAAAAAATCATATATTTTATTTTGAAAAAATGCACATCTAAGATCATATTCACTACCAATATAAAATAATAATCATTGCACATATATATTTTATATCAGATTTATAACGATATTGCACTATAAAATAAATCATAAATCACATGTTAAATATAAAAAAATACATACTCAATATATCAAATCAATTAATTTTACGAATATAAAATTATTCAGTTATATAATATAACAGCGTATAAAATTGCTGCACTTATAATAGATATTATAAAATTCATATAAAAGAATTAAGGAAATATATAATTTTTACGTTAATAAATCTCTCATTAACTTTGAACCTTTGCTCAAATATACAAGAATATCTTCTAGTTCAATCTGCGCTAAAGGTTCTCATTCAACTGCATTAAAAACGCTTCTAATTTTTATTGGTCAATATTAACTCTCAGCTTATTTTTATAATTTTTAATTTACTAAATGTTTTCTCGCAAAACCTGCATAAATGACAAAGTTAAAATGTATTAATATGTCATATATAAATTAGTGTCACTTGTAAGCATATTGCAACTTTTAAAAATTTCATACACGCATATTAACTTGTTCCATTTATTATCACCTCTGAGTTATCATATTTTAATATTCCATCTTCTTCATTTGACTCCTCACTTGTACTCACGATCATCGTCCGTTTCATTTAATTCTGCTACCAAATCTTTGAATACACTGGCAAATGAACATTATTCGTTACGTAATTTAACACACAATATATATATCTTTACTATTTATTTCAACAAAATGTATAGGGTGCAAATATTGCACATTCAAAATAAGCTCTCAATTCGCAGAGAGCCGTTCCGACAAGGTGTTTATAATTTGATCAATTATAGGACGAAATACTCCGAACCTATAAAGATCAATCGATTCTTGAGGACGTTTATTTTGGCATTTGTCACTATATATTCTCTTCGCTCGTCCTATTCGATTTTTTAGCAGAGTATTCTGTACCCTGATACTCTCCGGGAGCTTTAAATATTAAAATGTTTCATAAATTAGAAGCCATTTTATTGCTTTATTTTGAATCGATGTAATAATCGATGATACAGAAGACTTAGCATCTTTTATCATTTCCCATGCTGACAAAGTACCTAATTTTTTAATTTGAAGATATGACAGTGGTCCAATTATTTCAAAAATTTCTAATATATTATAGCTGTACTTAGAGTCTAAATTTACATAAATTATCAAGTTTTTGTTTCAAATGATTTATTATCTAATATAAATTGAAGTGCATTTATCGTTATTGGGAGAAAGCTCTCTTTACCATATATCCTCTAAGAGCTTTTTCACGTACCCACCACCTTATCTTACCTATTTTTTGCAGCTTTCTCAGCTTATTTTGGCCAGATGAATTATTCTGTTTCACCCAAGCATCCATCCTTTTATTTAATTCACCGACCTGGATTTTATTTGATTTCAATGAATTAAGTACAAGAAATGTTGGCCATATTATTTCTACAATAAATCAATGTATAAAAATGTAATATAATAAATTAATCAAAACTTAGCTTTCACTCCACTCAAACGGAAGCGTTTTTACTTCATATTAAAAAAACAAAGAGAACGTGGTAATGATGTATAGCGACAAGCGACGTTACTGATATTTTATGCATAAAATTATAGTAAACGACATGACAATTGTCAAGGAATGTGATATTCAAATCATAGATATATCATCAAAAATAAATAAATGATAAGAGAAAATAATGTGAACATAATAATATACTTTTTTTCTAATCGGCTTTCCTCTGATCGGCCTCAAAAATCGACATTTTCAAGCGGGCTCGTGGGCAAAATGCCCACCTGGTCTTATAGCCAGTCCGCCCCTGTAAGTGATTCATAATGATGATA